TCGAACAGATAATGGGACTGAGTATGTCAACAAGGAGTTTGCTGCTTTCATCTCTAGTCAGGGAATTCTTCATCAAACCACTTGTCCAGACACCCCTGTTCAGAATGGGGTGGCTGAACGCAAGAACATGCATCTACTGGAAGTAGCACGCTCATTGATGTTGACAATGAATGTGCCTAAGTTTTTATGGAGTGAGGCTGTTATGACAGCAGCTTATTTGATCAACAGAATGCCATCAAGAGTATTAGGGATGAAGACACCATGTGAGATGCTCTTGGGCTCGAATGTCTTTATTGTTCCACCAAGAGTGTTTGGATGCACATGTTATGTGAGAGATCACAGATTGATGGTGAGCAAATTGGATCCGTAAGCAGTTAAATGTATCTTTGTTGGTTACTCATCAAGTCAAAAAGGATACAAGTGTTGGTGTCCCACTGATAAATGTATCTTTGTTGGTTACTCATCAAGTCAAAAAGGATACAAGTGTTGGTGTCCCACTGAAAGAAGGTTGTTTGTCAGTATGGATGTGACTTTTCGGGAGTTTGAACCTTTTTATGGGGAGAAGACGGAGTTGAGTTCCTTATTTGGAGATGGCTCTACTAATGCTAGTAGAGAGGGGGAGAATGAGAATGAGAATGACATCATGGTCGAGAATGAGAGAGGCATCGTGGTTGGGATGATTCCATGTCCGTTTGAGTTACCGAGTAGTGATGGTACATCGCCAAGTAGTGGTGACGACTCAGGAGTCGGCAGTCAAGGTCAGGGGGAGCTGAGAGTATACACGAGGAGACAGAAACAGCAGCATGAGCTGCTTCCTGTGTCTGTGCCAGTACCCACAACTGTTGATGTCCCAAGTCCCTCCTCTCCAGTGCCTTCCTCATCTTCTCCACCTAAGCCGATAGGTAACGATTCCTTCCCTGATACTAATACTCCTGTCTTGTCTCGCAGAACCTCTAGAGTCAATGCTGGAAAACCTCCAGCTAGGTTTGGTAGTTGGGATACTGACATTGCCAATTACATTTCATATGCATCCATTCCATCTGCATATAAATCATTCATTGCATCATTGCATTCAGTACCTGTACCTAACAACTGGCAGGTAGCCAAGCAAGATCCTAGGTGGTTGAGTGCCATGCAAGAGGAACTTCAGGCCTTGAAGAAGAATGACACATGGGAGCTGGTACCTCTACCAGCTGGGAAGCGTGCTGTTGGATGTAAGTGGGTGTATACGGTTAAGCAAACTCCAGAGGGCAAGATCGACAGATACAAAGCCAAACTGGTTGCTAAAGGCTACAATCAAACGTATGGCATTGACTATGATGAGACATTTGCTCCAGTAGCAAAGATGAGCACTGTTAGAGTGTTGGTGTCATGTGCTGCCAACTTGATGTCAAGAATGCCTTTTTGCATGGAGATCTCCAGGAGGAGGTGTATATGGAGATTCCACCAGGCTTCGCTACTTCTCAAGTAGCTGGGAAGGTGTGCAAGTTGAAGAAGTCTTTGTATGGGTTAAAACAGTCTCCGAGAGCATGGTTTGACAGATTCAGGTTGGCAGTCTGTGGTATGGGGTACAAGCAGTGCAATGGAGATCATACTGTATTCTACAGGCACTCTAAAACTCGTATCACCATTCTGGCGGTCTATGTTGGTGATATTGTAATCACTGGAGATGATGTTGAAGAAATTCTACGGTTGAAGAAGAAATTGGGAGAGGAATTTGAAGTTAAAGATCTGGGGCAGTTGAAATACTTCCTCGGAATTGAAATTGCAAGGTCGCGAAAGGGTATAGTGCTTTCTCAGCGGAAGTATGCTCTGGATCTTCTTTCAGAGACAGGGATGTTGGGGTGCAGAGTTGCATCTACTCCTATCGAGCAGAATCATAAGATGTGTGCCGAGGGTGGTGACCCGGTGAGTGAAGAGCAATATCAAAGATTAGTTGGACGACTTATATATTTATGCCATACGAGACCTGATATTACTCATGCCATAAGTGTGGTGAGTAGATATATGCATGATCCCAGAGAACAGCATATGAAGGCAGTTCGCAGAATTCTTAGATATATTAAGGGAAGCCCAGGAAAGGGGTTGTGGTTCAGAAGTTCTGGACATCTGAGAATTGAAGGCTACTGTGATGCTGATTGGGCAGGTTGTATGGATGATCGTAGGTCCACTACAGGCTACTGTGTATTTGTTGGAGGCAATCTCGTATCTTGGCGTAGCAAGAAGCAGGATGTGGTGGCTAGGTCTACAGCTGAGGCGGAGTACAGGGCTATGGCAGTTGGTCTGTGCGAGTTGATTTGGGTCAAAAACATATTATCTGAGCTGCGCTTGTTTAGAAGAGACTCCTTACAACTTTGGTGTGACAACAAATCGGCGATTAATATTGCAAACAATCCAGTTCAGCATGATCGCACCAAACATGTGGAGATTGATCGATTCTTTATCAAGGAACAACTGAATAGAGGAGCTCTGACTTTGAGCTATGTGAAATCAGAAGAGCAGTTAGCTGATTGTTTAACAAAAGGATTAGGTTCTAGAGAGTATGATATCTTTTGTAACAAGATGGGGATGATTGATATCTATCGCCCATCTTGAGGGGGAGTGTTGAGTTATTTAGATATATTAATGTAATTAGTTAATGTTGGAAGGACCTTCTTGTAAGAATGTATTTATATAAAAGAAGGCACCTCTCTATGAGAGAATAAGCCCTAATTTTACCCCAAAAACAACAAATAGATGTAGAATTGGAGAAAGAGTGAAAGAATAATGCAAGAGAGGATATATAAAAGGAGGAAGTGGGAGAGGGAAGGGAGGTTGAGGATTAGGAAGAGAAGAGAATGGATGAGATGGTGAGGCTGAGGAGGGAACGGATGGTGAGAAGGCAGCAGGGATGGAGGATTTTTTAAACAAACTTAAGAATGAGGGATTTATATATAAAAATCTCTAAGTTTTTTTGGTTTAGACTTGCTAGGGAGTTTTTTTAAAAGAGGCTTTTTTGCTAAATAATTAGCAAAACCGACCGTTTTGCTAATTATTTAGTAAAACTGACCTCTTTTGGCCAACAGACCAAAAAGAAGTCGGTTTCGCAGCGATGAGCTTCTGAAACATACGTGAGTAGTAGTCCCATATGTTTAGTGGTCAATAAGTGGCCACTAATCTAAACTTAGAAAACCCTCAGGACTACTAGTCCCGTGGGTTTTCTGAACTCCCAAAAAAATACTCGGGACTACTAGTTTTGTGCATTAAGCACAATTCTAGGCGTTGTCGCCCAGCAAATCCACGGGACTAGTAGTCCAGTGGATTTGTCAGGCCTATATAAGCCTAGTTGTGCCCAAAAATTAGGGTACAACCTCCTCTCTCTATCCCTCCCAATATCTCACATCTCCAAAACCGATTTTCATTCACCCTCTCCCAATCTCTCTCCCTCAATAATCTCAGCCCCATTCTATTTATTCTCTCCAAAATCACCTCTTTCTCCCTCAAATTTCTCTCTCTTATTCTCACCAAACCCATTATCTCCAAACTCATTCTCTCCAAACCTAAATAGAGATCTTCCCTAAAGTTCACTCCATTATTGTTGAAGTCTGATGCTGTTTATCCTCTCCGACGCTGACGAATTTTAGATCTTCATCAAGGTATAAATTTTGATTTTTTCCTAATTTTCTCTCTATTATTTAGTTAAAATTATAGTTTGAAAATAACTGTTTATTTAGAATAATTTTTAATTATGATAAACAATGGGATTTGGTTAAATTTTGATAGATTAAAATTTATTAGATTAAAATTTGATAAATAATTTGCATATGATATATGTTAACATTTCAATTTGAATGTCCAATAAAATACCGATTATTTACTTATTCAATAGGAAACTGAGTGTTGGAATAAATAAATGCCTATATACAAGGGAGAATCTAGAAAAATATTCATGTTATCTAGAAATTACAACTTCGATGGAACGATGGATCAAATATACAAAGTTACTAAAATTAATCATGGAGAGTATGCCACTAGGTCTTCTGTATTTGTCCGATAAATGAAAAAAGAACAACTGCTAGGGAGATCACCAATGATCAAGAACTGAGTGATATGATACAACTTGTAGAAAACCAAATCTCAATGGAGTTGTTCATTGAAAATATTCTAATATCCGGTGTTACCCAAGTTTCATATGCTCCTAGAGAGTTCTCCCGCATGCTTGACTTAGAAAATAACTCGAGCGAATCATTTCATCTCCAAGTGCCTTACACTTAAAAAATGACCCAGGTGCAATGTCAAGTGACGTGTTCCATAACTCTTTGGGTCATGTTTCAGTTAATTTATAATTGGCTCTATTGTAGAAGAGGATGAGGATTCAGATGCATATGATGATTATAAAGATGCTAAAGAGGAGGAACGTCTTGATAGTATGCAATATACAATTGGAGGAACCAATGAGAACACCTGTTGGATGGATGAATATTGTGTAAACAACAATTATGTTGAGTCTGAAGAACCGTTGCAATATGAGTTTCAAAATGAGGAGTGGATAAATGTCTCACAAGCTGAGTTTATTGAGCCTGGTTCTAATTTCAAACGACATGAGGAGTTCATTTTTAAAAAGGAGATATTTTTGAGAATTAAGGAAATTTTAGTTTTCGCTATACGTGAATGGTTAATCAAGAATCAGGTCAAAAATTCAAACCAGTGAAAACTTACAGCCAACTACCATGTAAGTGCTACTTAAACGAGAAAGTTCAAGGAGAGTATGCAAGTGCTCAAGACAATACAAATTCAAAGTGTCCATGAAAGCTTAATGCAGCTGTTAGGAAAAAATCTAATGGGCAATTTATGATTTCTAGTTATTGCAGACTTCATACATGTTGCAATCCGACTATCATTGCTGATCATAAGGCAACAACTTCCTCTTATATCTTGAAGCTAATTATGCCCAAAGTTAGGCGAGAACTTGATCTTACTCCAAGTCAGATAAGTACAAGGGTATGTGATATGAGAAAAATAACTATATCCAAATATAAAGCATATGATGCATAGAGGAAGACGTTGACTAAAATCTTTGGAGATTGGGAGAAATCTTACGAATTACTTCTGCAATATCTTGAAGCAGTTGTGAGTATTTTGGGGTATATTGTCTAAAATCAGGGTATCGAATACGAAATATTGTATAAAGCGATTGCACCGGGAACGAAAAAGTTCATGCTATTTTGGGCATTTGGACCCGCTATCAAAGGGTTCTCTTTTTGTCGTTCGCTCTTGAGCATTGATAGCACACATTATACAACAAGTACAAATGAGTGCTCTTGGTTGCGATCGGTGTAGACAAAAATAATGGTCTATTTCCATCAGCTTTCGCAGTTGTGAAGGTGGATGATACATCAAGTTGGAGTAGTTTTGTAATATATTTATAGATTCATCCTTATTGTTCAAAGTCTTAGAATGATTACTTTTATTTCTGACCGGATGAAAGGAATTCCATGAGCCTTGCACGAGGGGTTTCGAGCACCACATCATCACCGGTATTGCTTGCAGCATATAAGAGAGAATTTTAAGAAAACACGAAGAGGTCAATTTACAATCTATTGTGGCAAGCGGGGTGTGCAGCCGACACACTGGTATATGAGCATTGTAGGGAGAAAATTAAGTGCTTATTAGTTGAAGCACACAATTGGATTGAATAGAACTTGAAGCCGCAATACGAAGATCGATTGACATTATGTAAAGATGGTGGAGTGCGCTATTGTATGATGACAACTTATTGCTTTTGGTTGCTTATATATATAATTATATCTTTTTATATGATTGCAGATAGACTCTATGGATGAGATAGATACGATTACAAATGAAGGCATAACTACCGCCATAGGAGATTCAATACATGTATTGGTATTGCAGTAGATAGTGGGGAGGATTCGTAAAGCTCTTCATTGAACTCACGAGGATCGGCATAATGGTCGCAAGCAAATGGCGCATGAGGAGAGGGTATATGCACGCCGACAAAGACAAGGTGAATCTTGCTCGCACGACAATAAAACTGGTCCATCACAGCAAGCTGGTCCGTTATGCCCCACGCAAAACCGGAGAGCGAGCAAGTACAAGCTCAAATCGAAGGAGGATGCCGATGATCGGAGCGGGTACAAAGAGGGAGACAACGGGGGAAGGACGGACTTTTAGGTTGCATGTGATTGTTTATTAGTTTTTTTGTTTAGACTATATTTTTCATAAAATAGACTTGATATATTTGGATTTGTTTGGACTATTTTGTCTTATGGATATGTATATGACATAACTATTGTGTCGTGATGTTGTGAATTCATTAAATATGTTTTTATCCAATGTTTATTTCTTAAAATTTATAACTATATAAATATTATATTGTATAACAATTGTATGAAGTGGATATTATATTTTTGTAGCCCAAATATGTCTGCCAAGCAATGTATATGAAATGATATAATATGTGCATGTTTTGTGCACATTTGTGGTGTGCCCAGTAAATCCACGGGACTACTAGTCTTATAGATTTGCTTGGTGACATCGCCCAGGTCTCTACTTAACATAGAGACTAGTAGTCCAGTGTGTTTTGTTTGGGAGTTCAGAAAACGCACGGGACTATTCCCCACTGGACTAATAGTCCCGTGGGTTTTCTAAGCTCAGATTAGTGAAAAATTACTGGTCACTAAATATACGGGGCTACTAATCTCGTATGTTCCATCTCTGCGAAACCGACCTCTTTTTGGTACCTAGTCCCATGGGTTTTCTAAGCTCAGATTAGTGGAAAATTACTGGTCACCAAACATACGAGACTACTAAACCGACCTCTTTTTGGCACCGATTTTGCTAAATAATTAACAAAACGATCGGTTTTGCCAATTATTTAGCAAAAAAAACCTCTTTTGGGAAAAAAAAAACACCGACTTGCCAGCGGTTTGGAAATGCCTTAATACTGTAAGTTCAACACTTTAATTTGTTCTCGTCGTTTTTCTCAATGGTTGTAAAAGTTGACGTTACATCAATTTTGGTTGTACGAAAATATGAAGGGGTAATTGCATATAGAATCCTACGGTATGGTATTTGTGCCTCGTGGCACTTACTATACTTCAAATCTGTAATGTGTAATAGAGTGAATTACATTAAACCCCAAAAACGTTTAGCATCTCGGAGTAAACCCCGTTAACTTTCAAAACAGCACTAAACCACCAATAACTTTTGCAAGAAACCCCCCGAATATATTTTAGCGTAAATTATACTAAACTCTCAATAACTTTCAAAATGTCTTTTCATATTGTTTTGTCGACTACTAATGAACATTAGTAGGTGTCACACGGAAAGTAGCATGAGCCTAACTCTTTCTGCAGAGCATGTTTCACGTTCACAAATCCAAAATTAGAATACTATTACATCACTGTTCAATATCACTGTACCTTACCAACGTCCTAATAGGGCTTTCGCATAAATACCTCCTAATCGTTCCTATTTGTAAATAAATCCATTATCTCCGTCGGTAATTTGATAGTGTTAGAATCGGAGGTTTACCATATGTGTAACTTTATTCCCTCCGTCGTTAAATTTGACATGCTTCAGAAAATCAAAGTTTTGTTCACGTGTCAGCGACAGTGCAAGGTTTAACATATTTTTAGGGAGACAGTTTAGGAGAACCTAGGGACAAATAAAGATTATCTTGGAGGGTACATTTGCAGAAAACCCAATCTTTATATTAATATAAAAACCCAAACCCACGACTTCCTTCTGACAAAAACTCCCCACTTCCATCTCCCCTCCACAAATGGAATTGAACACTACCCTCGTCCCCTCTCGCTCTTCCCTCCACCTCCCCTCACCGTCGCCCGCCGCGGACCGCTCGCCCCCCTCACTTCCTCCCCTCGCCCCTCACGGTCTCGCGCGTTCCCGCCGGCGAAGATCCTCCCTCTGCTCGCCGGCGTCGCCGCCTCCTCCTCATCTTCATCAGCAACAATCTCCTCGATCGTAGAGTCGAACGGCACCGCTTCTCCCTCTCCTCCTCCTCCTCCTTCCTCGACTCCATTGGTTAGGGTTTCGTCGGATTCTTTGCAGTACGAGAGCGGGTACCTCGGCGGGATCTCGGAGAAGACTCCGCCCTCGGATGACGGCGAAGGAGGCGGCGACGGAGTGCGATTGACGAAGTATCTGACGAGCATATTGTCTTCTAGAGTGTACGATGTGGCGGCGGAGTCGGATGGATCGGAGTGTTTCCGCTCAGAAGGTGTAGCTGTGGGTGATGAGCAGCTGTCGGAGAGGCTCGGGGTTAATCTCTGGCTCAAGAGGGAGGACTTGCAGCCAGTTTGTTCCCTAACCCACATTCTCTAATTCACTTGTTTCTCACCGCAAAGTCCCAATCTTTTTTCCCTGAACTTTTTGTTTTAAAGGCTAGAAATTTATTTGTTTTATAGCGAATTTTGTTCTTAGTTTGATGTGCAATTAAGACAATTGATGCCATTTGCATTGAGCTATCCGAGCAATTTCTTCTTCTTTTTTCCCCTCCTCCTAAAGTTATTCGAATGCATAATCAAAGTTATGTTGTTGGTCAGAGTCACTACTTAAGCATGTACTACAAAGTGTAGGTCTTTTCATTCAAGCTGCGAGGAGCATATAACATGATGGCAAAGCTTTCGGAGGAGCAATTGGAGAGGGGTGTTATCTGCTCATCCGCCGGCAACCATGCCCAAGGAGTAGCCTTGTCAGCTAAAAGACTAGGATGCAACGCTGTTATCGCAATGCCGCTCACTACTCCAGAGATTAAGGTTTCATATTGTTCACTTCAGGTTCAATTTTCTTACCATTATTTGGCTTCAAATGATGAAGTATATGGTTTCTTGGTTTCTTCAGTGGAGATCGGTTGAGAGATTAGGTGCCAAAGTTGTCCTGGTTGGGGATTCTTATGACGAAGCACAGTCATATGCGAAGCTAACAGCAGAGCAGGAGGGTCGAACGTTCATCCCTCCTTTTGATCATCCAGATGTCATCGTGGGCCAAGGGACGATTGGAATGGAGATAGTTCGCCAATTCAAGGCTCCATTACATGCCATTTTTGTGCCTGTTGGAGGTGGTGGATTGGCTGCGGGTATTGCTACTTATGTCAAACAAGTTTGCCCAGAGGTATTTGTGTTCTTGCATAATTTAATTTTGTTTCAAATTGATAACTTTCCTATTGGTTTATCATCCCCATTCTTTTCAAAGCAAGGATATGATATAGGATGAGATAGCTCTAAATGAATGGAAGGATAATATTCATGGAGCTGACCACATAAAATTGGGATAAAGGTGGTTGTTCTTGTTGATCCATTTCAAAGCAGGGTGTTATTCATTTGGGATTATTTGGTAAGGCTAGGATTGTTGTCCAAGAATCCTATATTCTAGGATTCAAATTAAGACTAGGATATTCTGGACTTTTTGGAATGATTTTTAAACTTCTGAATGGATTATTGGGCTCAGTGTTAAATAATTATTAACAAGGATAACTATTCTTTTATTAAAATTTTGTTATTATTTAATTAAGAAACTTTTATGACTATAATTTAAGATTAAATTTTACTATTAATTTGTATATTTCAATATATAAACATTAAATATAATAGAAAATTTTGTCAATCATTAAATATCAATATCAAATTATTAATTATTTAATTATTTTTTATTTAACATATTAAATATTGTTTAATATTACCTATTTGCCATTAGATATTTAAATAAGTATTAAGTATATAAATATGAAATATAAATTGTGATTAAGATTAAGTATATATTTAATATTTGACAAATTATTTTATATATTTAAAATAGAGCTTTGCTACAGGGACCCAAAATATGGGACCAATAAGGAGGACAAGTGAGGTGTCCCCTTCCTATTGGATAATGAGTTGGCCATCATTAATGATGACCAACTCATTATCCAATAGGAGGGGGACACCTTACCTGCCCCCCTTATTGGACCCATATTTTGGGTCCTTGAGGATTTTTTTTTAAAATATGATAAATCATTAACACATTTAATATCAAATATATTAGACTATTAAATATATCATGCTAATTATTTAAGCAACAAATGATCAAATGATGTTAAATATTAAATAGTATTAAATATTAAAGAATTTTATTTTAATTTATTAAATATATTTTAGGAATCTGATTAAAAAGTATTTAAAGCTTAGCATATTTAATGAAAAATATATTAAATAACTAAAAATAACTATTTAAGCTATTTGATATTTAATATCTAACATTTCCTTAGTTAATTTTTAAATATTACTTACATTTAATATTATTTCTTACTAATGTTTAAATAAATATATATGTTCTATATTAATATTAAATATTTAAATATTTTTATATGTTTAAGGTATGATAAATAATAACTGTATTCAATATTTAAAAATAAATATATTAAATATAAAAATTATTAAATAATATTAATTATTAAATAATATTAATTATTAAATATATTTTATTTTATGTAATTAGTGTATTTATTAAAAATAGTTAAAATTGAATATGTTTAATATTTTATTAAATTATTATATAATATTTAATATTAACTAGAAATGTCTTGTAAATATTAATTAGTAGTGTTTTTTTTATGTGGACTCATTAAATGAAAGGGGAGAGAGAAAATCCTCGGTGGAGATCACAATCCTCTAATTTTAACATGATTTTTTTTCTTGGAATTTTATCACTGGAGTGTATAGAGTTGGGTTGGAATTTGGATTTTGAAATTCTAGTCCTAATCACAATCCTAGACAACCAACAACACCATCAAGTTAAAATCCAAATCCTTATCCTAAACCAATAACACCTTAAAGTTAAATACTTGGAGAAGTTCTAATCCAAATAAAAATTAGTTAAATCCTTGGAGAAGTTCTAGTCCAAATAAAAAATCCACCCCCCCCCCCCCCCCCCCCCAAAAAAAAAAAAAAAAGAAAAAAAAGAAGGGAAGTGAACAAGTTTGTTACTGGTTTCTGTATAATGCTAGTTTCTGCTATTTGCTATCTCTATTTGAATATTAATAGGTTCTTTAAGATACAGTAGCTCATCTTTTTGCAGTTTATAAAGTAACATGTTTTTTAAGCTCATGTTTGCTGGGGAGTTGCATATGCCTATGTTGCATGGGTACATGTACCGATATAGGTATGGGTGCCTGCGTAGGACATGACAAATTTATAAAGGTAGGGGTATAGGGACACAACTATATAAATATTTATATACACATGTTATATATTGGAACTAAAAGTTTACATTAGATAAATATTGTTTTCGTTCATTGTTATGAAAATTTAAATCCCTTATTACATTTCTATAATTTTATTTTTCTTTTATTATGTGGACTATAAATTGAAAATTTGCTAGTTTTAGAAATAGACAACCAAATGTCCTTTAAAATCATAGTTCATAACCCAACCTATCTCCAACGGTTTCAAGAAGTGAGTGCGAAGTGTAGGATATATGTTCAGAAAATGTATAACAAATGTTTTAAATTAAAACATGTATGGCACTCAGATATGCAAGGGGTGTCCATGGAGTTTGGGTACAGGTACAGGTACATGTCAGGTAAATGGGTATGACACTCAGATAGAAGTACCCATGTAGCATAAGTAACAACTAATATGTTTATGGGAATAGAACCACAATTCAAGAAAGAGATGAAAAATCCTTGAACAATCACACTTTGCAAGGGTATTTGCTTATTCTTTGGAGAAGGTCCCTGCCCCCTTGTTTACATGACATTCATTGATGATTACTTAAAGTATTCAGTAAACTGATGAATTGAGACAACTACCGATTCTTTGTTTAGACCATCTCAAGTCATACATTTGCTAGATAAAAGAGAAAGAAAAGGTGAAATCACTCTGGTTTTTCTCTTACCTTGACTTACCAATTTGTAAATGTGTAATCTTTACTATTTTAATTCTTGTTAAAGGACTGGAAGATCTTCATTTATGCTCAAGTGAAATTTTATTAACTCGAGCTGGCCTGGTACAGTGCATGCCTCCAGAAACAAACATTCATTAGGCTGATTTGGCATACAATTTCAAATATTAAAAGACATAAAACATTCGTCTGAATTTAAATCATACATAAACTTTTTTTCTTTCATGAAGTCACACCCACAGGCAGGGGTCCTCTATACTTTTCTGTATTTCCTTCTTTCCCCTAATCAAACATATGGAAAGGGAAATGTTGTACGCTTAACTCTAGGTTGCAGATATTCCTAATTATTATATGCCTGATAAAGGCTTTTGGCAGAAGCCGAATGATTGTCACAATACCTACTTGGTGCTCCTTCTTGTAAATATTGCAAGTAATATAGTGCTTTAGGTTATCATAGGCACCTATTTCTTTCTATCACTGTTAATGCAGGTTAAAGTTATCGGGGTTGAACCAGTTGATGCTAACGCTATGGCATTGTCTTTGCATCATGGACAAAGAATCATGCTCGAACAAGTAGGAGGCTTTGCAGATGGTGTAGCTGTAAAAGTAGTTGGTGAAGAAACTTATCGGTTATGTAGGGAGCTAGTAGATGGTGTAGTTCTCGTCAATCGTGATTCTATTTGTGCGTCCATAAAAGTAAGTTATATTGTTCTTCCTTTCACTCCTGTGATAGTACATTTTCGTGCACATATTTGTTTCTTAGACTTTATGCAGCACATATACATCTCTAATCAGCTCATATACAAATTCATAAGAACAAAGTGTCAATAGCGTTGACTCCTAAGCAACTCTATTGAAATTGGCTCCTGAAACTACTAATACTGTTCATATTTTTATACAAACATATGATAGATGAATTAGCGCTAAGTATAATTAATAGTTGATAAGAAATGCAACCAACAATAGAACTTTTCTCGGGTAGGGATTAAAATCTATCATTACACTCCAAAAGCATCTACAATGCAAAGTGTCATATGCTTGGAAGCATGTCTAAAGTTGGACTTAGCTATTTCCCTCATATTTGCATGTTTATTAAGTTGGCTTCATGGTATGACATCTAATATCTCCAAATTAGTTGAAGTATCTAACATTGTTCACATAAGCTTTTCACTAAGTGTGATACCACCACTCCTCCAAGCAAGATTTGGACGAGAATGTTATGTTTTGCTTTATTCAGCAAGCTGTTTTATGCAAATCTTTGCACTATTGTTGGTAGGAAGTAGGTGAAAAGCGTTTCTATGTTTCACTTCATAGAAGTATCATCACAACCCCAACTTTATGGATATATCAAGTCTAATTACACTTTATGGATGGATCATCTTAATGCAAATCTATGTGCGCACACACTACTGACACCGAGTTTTTAGTGAGAACTATTTTGTGTGCAGAAATTTTGATGTGGAACTGTGTAGCTATTCAATTTCACTCCTACTTTGAGTGATTTTGCTGGCCTTCTTTGGGTAAGAGTTAAATTTCTTCTCTCGTTGCCCTCTCTCTTGCAATATGCTCGGAGATTAGTGCAACTCTCTGCAGAAAATTGTCACCTTTGGCCATTTTCTGAATTCTTTTTGAGTCAAGGAGAAATTTGTGAACTTTTCTTGCTGATTGTACTACAAGATTCTTTTTAAGTCTGGGAGAATTGCGTATAAACACCCTGTACTGTCACCAAATTACAGATTGACCACCTGTAGTTCTACTGTTGTGGGTAGACCCCTTGTATTATTGCCCAATTGCGGATAAACGCCCTGAGTGAAATTTTTTTGACTCTTTTTATCCTCAGAAAGTCTATTTGTCAATTTTCTTCTTCTCTGAGGATAAAAGAGTCAAATATTTCCACTTAGCGAGTCTATCTGCAGAAATAGCACTGCATGAGGTCTATCCACAACTGGGGAAATTCTAACATATCTAGTTGAAGTCAATGTTTCTTGTTGATGTGTAAATATCTGAGTCTAATTACACACAGGATATGTTTGAGGAGAAGAGGAGCATTCTTGAACCTGCTGGTGCTCTTGCCCTGGCTGGGGCTGAGGCTTACTGCAAGTACTATGGTTTGAAAGGGGAATCTGTGGTTGCATTAACCACTGGGGCTAACATGAACTTCGATAGATTGAGGTTAGTAACTGAGCTTGCTGATGTTGGTCGGAAACGAGAAGCTGTTCTCGCAACATTTCTATCGAAAGAGCGAGGTAGCTTTAAACAATTCTGTAAACTGGTAGGCCTCAGTTTTTATCCTCTAAGACTCTAAGTTTCTTTTCTTATGGGTTAATTGCGGATAGATCCCTAGTACCATAGCCAAAAGGTCCTATATTGCAGATAAACACCCTGAAAGAGATCTATTGTTACAGATAGACCCCTAATGAGGTCAACAAGTTTTCACTCAGGGGGTCTATCTGCAACAATAGAACTACACGGGTAGTAAGTTCAAGTGGGATATAGTACAGGGGGTCTATTCGCAATTAACCCTTTTCTTATTTGTATCAAAATTTGCTCTTGGATCTCTAAGAATTTGGACAATATGGCAGGTGGGTCCTGTCAATATAACAGAGTTCAAGTACAGACATGACCCTAGCAAAGAAGAAGCCACAGTTCTTTACAGGCAAGAGCCTGCTTGATTGTAAGATGGTTTCTTGTTCATATGCATCTTGTATTAACTTCTTTTTCTTTAATATGTTAGTGTTGGAGTTCATACTGACAGTGAGCTTAAAGCGATGACAAATCGCATGGAACATTCACAGCTACAAACAGTGAATCTGACCAACAATGACTTGGCGAAGGATCATTTAAGACACTTGGTATGGTTTTTTGCCTATGATATATATTTTTCTTCTGTATTGGTTTCTATTTGTTCAGATCTTCAAACTAAGAATACAGCTTTATGTAGGTATTGAATATAAATATTGTGTTTGTTTGAATTTCTTTCCACAAGCCTACACGGAATATCCCTCTCATGGTTTCTCTAAAGGGGACATTCTGCGTATCTGCATTCACTCTCCTAGTTTTAAATCCTTTCTATATTACCAAAATTACCCCTTCATTACTATCATCAATTGATTGATGTTTATGATAAACAAAGCAAACATGTTCATGGGTCTTCATCTTCAATATTCCTAGTAATTACATCCATAGGTTCTGCAAATAGAGGAGGATTTAATGTCCATCCTTTGTGCAAGTATATGATAATAAGGAATGACTATCTCCCTCTAGTCATTCTCACTTGTTTATTTAGTTTTTACCAACTCCGGATGTTTTTCTTAGTACCACTTGTTCTTTTTCACCAATTTGCATTATGCTGGCTAGAGGTAAATACAGAATATTTTTGCCGCTTTGTCTTAAAATATCTGAATTTTTTTGGGTATATAATAGATGGGAGGCCGTGCAAATGTCCAAAACGAACTTCTTTGCCGATTTGTCTTCCCTGAGAAGCCAGGTGCTCTTATGAAATTCTTGGATGCCTTTAGTCCGAGGTGGAATATCAGCCTGTTCCATTACCGGTCACAGGTCTGTCATTCTCTGATCTATTTTCACAGAAATTGTTTTGAAATTAGGTTATAAATTAGACCAAGCAAAGCATTTACACCTACATGCACAATTACTAGCTCGCTGAGATACAAACACAAAAAGATGACAACAATAACAACAACCAAGCCTTTATCCTAAAATTTTGTGGCTCGCTACATGAATCCTATTTTTCCATTTGCTTATGTTTGGGACTATCATCTCCATTAAGTTAACCACAAGATCTCTTAAGCCTACCTTTATTCATCTTTTCTCTGTTAGTTATGACATTACCGCTGATCGTAATTAGTGCATTTAGTGGACTCCATTTGCATGTTTCGAAACAAATTTCAACAAAGTCTTGTTCATTTTATCCTTGATAGAAGCAATCTCTAATCTTGATGCATTCATTTTGTATCCTATCTCTTAGGGTATACCACAAGTTCAATGCAATATTCTCATTTCTGTACACACTTTTCTTTGGCACATGTTTTTAATTGTCCAAAATCTGATTCATTAAGTACTTTTTGGTATTATAGATGTCACAAAATCCATCCTTCAACTTCATAGATATTCTACAGTCACATTGAGCCTCAGAAGTACTCCTTCGATTTGATGAACCATATCATCCACAATCTGTCAAAGACTTGTTTTCAATTGAACATAATTTTATCAGGCTGATTGTTAGCACTATTACCTTCTCCCTCAGTATTAATGATCTCTCTTTACAGGGCGAAATGGGTGCAAATGTGTTGGTAGGCATCCAAGTCCCTGATGAAGAAATGGAAGAATTTCAGAATCAAGCCAAAGATCTTGGCTATGAGTATGCATTTGAGATGAACAATGAGGCATTTAAGCTTTTAATGCATTGACAAAAAAATGCATTAAAAATTCTAAGTCGCTTTTTCTCCGGTTTCAATAATGCCTGTGCCTCATGTTCACTTATGTATTCCTCCTGTAACCTGTTTTTAGAAAAGATTAATTGGAGGATCCTGATTTGTTTATCTAATTCAGGCAGAGCGAAGAGTTATGTAGTATTTAGTACGAATAATGGAGAGCTGTCTCCTTTTGTAGTGTGTATTTGATCGAATCCAATTTTCTCATGTTATATTGTGGGAATTGCTGAAATGAAGTGAAATCATTTTTCTTTCTTTTTCCTTTGGGAAATGTCAGTTTCTAAACTTTATTGGTAGTAAAGAATAATTGACTTATAAGGATGGGAAACTCAAAGTGGGGTGAGAATCAACAATTGAAAGTTGTGTGAGCTTAGCTGTTTCTATCCAGCAACAGATTATTGAGCCACAAAATCAATTTTATGTTCCTATCTTTTTGTAAATAATACATTAATACCTCTACAATTGATTGAGGCTTCCCTCTTATTTTCTTTTTTTAGGTCCCAAGTCTGTATTATTTATTTATTAATTTATTTAGAATGGATTAGGTCTCACATACTTAATCTCGTATCTGCCTCAAATTGTGATTGTTACACAATGATCTAAGGAGAAGGAAGACTAGAGCTAGTAAAGCACTCCTCCAAGTTTCTTGTTGTCACCTTTTATATTTCTTTTTGGTGTTTAATTGGGTAAAAAAACAGTCCACATAAATCAATTACAGCACAAAAAAGTGTAGGACAAAAAAGAGCATGGAAGAAAATTTTCAAGACTGATAAATCAATCGAAAACTCTCTAAGGTGTGAATTTTACCTGATATAAGTGCATCATGGTCCCCAAATTCAAATAATTATGCCCTCAGTTTTTTTCCCCTGTCTCCACTTTACACTTTCCTAAATTTAAAATAAAAATAGAAAGTTGTTTCTACTAATTTCTAACCGTAGGCGGAGTCAACATTTGATTATAATGAATGATTATGCTGGGCACGCGAACTTTGGAGTGATCCAATGTCAACTTGAACCAATAGAAAATATAACGTCATGATATTAAAAAGATCCCTGCTTCAACTGTCGAAAAATGCACAAAATCCAACTAACACAACACATATTTGCTTTCACCTATTAAATTCATGCGCATGTATTAATCAATCTGGTTTCAGACTAATGAATACCAAAGCACTGAAACTTCTTGACGAAGTTAAGAAACTAAATGGCTTAATGAGAGAGTTACTGGAACGAGGACTTTTGTTTCTCTATCATTTGTCAGTCGAAGATGGGTAAACCAGTAACTAACAATAATTAGGTAAGATAAGTAATAACAACTGATTTAAGTAAAAGAAAAATCATTATGTCTCCCAAACGAGAAGGTATCCACGGTTCATGGCATTTAACGTGTATCAAATATCCATGCACGGATCCCCAAGTTTAATGATCCAAAAGTTGACATTTTTTTAATGCGCATTTAACACCATGAAACGCGAGCCGCTTGATACTTAACAAGTACGTAATTTGAGGCTTAACACTTGTTAAGAATAAGATATCAAATTTGTATTTTAAAAAAAATACCAAAGTTCGGCAAACACTTGTCAAGACTAATGAATACCAAAACATTGCAGTAAGGTGACCATTATAGGTGACGATATTAATGAGAATGGACCAATAATCTCTCATGAGCCAGTTGTTATTCATGAAGTTCATCAAGAGTGGAGATGCAAAACATGCATCAAGCAAGAGTGGAGATGCACAACATGCACGGAAAGAACTTCTCTTTTTTGGAAAGGAAAGAGGCTTTTTGAAGGCTTGGGCCTCCACCCACAACTAATTATTGCACCTGTAAATCTTTAATCATTTGCCTTTTGCACCCAACAATTCTTTGAAGACTAAAGTGCCCCATTGTCTAGTATTCAGTAAAGTAAATCCAGTTCATTGTACTAATAGTGCATAAAAAGACTGTTCATTCTTGAATTAGTGCAATGTGATCCAAAAGAAAAAAAGTATGCAGGAGCTCGATCCATAGCTTAACACCACGCCAAAGATGATATCAGCCATCAGATCACTAGACTTAGGGATCCATGCATTGATCACGGATCGATATCATTTTAATGCATCATTAGTGCAATGGACCTGGGCTACTCAATGCTCTTCTCAACGCAATGACTATTTTCGTGATACACCATTAACAGAATAATTGCACCACTTACTCTCATGCATTAAGAAATCCCTCACTCCCACCACTAATGCCCACATAACATCACTCATCTAGACCTGTCTCCCACTACTAACTCCCTCGATCATCTTCTTCTCCCACTTTCACTTAGGAACCATGACGCTGTCAATGGTAGTTGCTCAAGTATTTCTACTAGGACTTGTAGGAGTTTTAGAAGGTCAAAGCCTTGTTCCTGCGGTTTTCTTCTTTGGTGACTCCATCTTCGATGCCGGCAACAACAACCACCTCCCTACTCTTGTTAAGGCCAACTTCCCTCCATATGGCAGGGATTTCATCAACCACTCCGCAACTGGAAGGTTCTGCAACGGAAAGCTGGCAATTGACTTCATTGGTAAATGATAAAAGTTTATAAGGGTTAATGTATTCATGATAGGCCTCCTGTACTATCGTCCGATTGTGGATGGATCTCTTGTAGTCCCATTGTTACAAATAGACCCCCTGATTGAAATTTCTCTGACTCGTTTACGCTCAGAGAAAGATATAATTGTTTTCGGCAAATAGACCTCATGAGGGCGAACGAGTCAAAAAATTTCAATCGGGGGTTCTATCTGCAATTGGAAGATAGTACAGGGGTCTATCCGCGATTGAACCAAGTTTTTATTAACGCTTACACATTGATCCAAAGACGTTTGATCTGTTGTATGTCCGTGTCTCACTTTGTGTCATGATACACACTGCTCACACCCTCGTAGCACTTTGGAGATCAAGGAGTTTAAGTGCTAATAAAAAGTTTAATAAATCTAACCCCTAATTAAAAAAAGAGAGAAAGTTGTTTTTTGACAAATAGATGTCCTTAGAGTTTTTAAATAAATAAAACATTCGCTCAGGGGGGATCTATCTTGAACAATAGCACTGCTGGGGTCTTTCGCATGGGGGTCTGCCTGCAATTAACCCTTGTCGTAGCTCATTTTTATGTCTTTTGTTCACTTGTGTATTCAGTTGAGATCCTTGGATTCGATGCATACCCACAAGCATACCTCAGCAAACATGCAACTGGAGACAACCTGCTCACGGGAGCCAACTTCGCTTCTGCAGCTTCTGGGTACCTGGACGCAACAGCAGCCTTATATGTGGGTGGTTTCAGCACCCTGCGTCTCTGATACTAGCCATTTTTCTTAAGCTGATGTGGGATTTTTGTGATCATGGATGTTACAGAAATCGATTTCATTGACGCAACAGTTGCGATACTACAAGGAATACCAGTCCAAGCTGAAGATAGTAGCACAGAGTGCAAGTGCCAACGTGACGAATATCATTTCAGGCTCCCTTTACATTATCAGCGCTGGGAACAGTGATTATTTGCAGAACTATTACATCAATCCTCTCGTCTCCTTAGCGTTCACCCCAGATCAGTTTGCTGACTTGCTAGTTCAATCCTGCACAACTTTTGTTCAGGTCTTGTTATTATAACTTCTAGTGCATTGAATGTTAGCAGAGGTAGATAGATAGCCCAATACAAATAACAAGCTCTGAGCAATACAATTAACAAACTCTTAAGCCCTCGTCTAAGCTCATATCATTAATGGTGCACAAAAGGAATTCGAAAGATAGAGACCCATGAACCCTGATTGCAATTCACAGGGAGGAATCTCTCTTGTATCTCGTTGTGCCAATATAGCATGAGATTTGTAGCATAGTTCATGTGTCTCGCAAAAACGTGAAAGAATCTTAATTTTTTAAGGACATCAGCCATATGCTTCTCAGACTGTAAACAAAGGTTAGTTACGAATAGACCTCATGTACTATCGCCTAATTATGTATAAACCCTGTGCAGTTCTACTTTTGCAAATAAACCCCATGTACTATAGGTAAATTGTGAAATTTTTTTGACTCTTTTACTCTCAGGAGGTCTATTTGTCAAGAACAATTCTCTTTCTCTGAGGATAAAAGAGTCAAAAAAATTCGCTCGGTGGGTCTATCTGCAAGAATAGAACTACACAGGCTCTCTCTGCAACTTGGTGATAGTGCAGGCAGTCTAGTCGTGATTAGGTAATGAATCAACAAAAAAAAATAAAATCTAATAGATCCATATTGCATTTCTCAGGACTTGTACAGGTTAGGAGCAAGGAGAATTGGGGTGACATCGCTGCCACCATTGGGTTGTCTACCTGCAGCCATAACAATCTACGGTTTTGGGAGCAATGACTGTGTTTCTCGTCTTAACAATGATTCTCTCAACTTCAACAAGAAGCTAGAAGCAGCTGGGGAAGCCCTGAAGAAGGCACATCCTGACCTTAAGTTGGTTGTCTTCGACATATACAACCCTCTACTTGACCTCATCAAAAACCCCGGCAACAATGGTATATGCTTTGCACATATAAAGCTCATACTATGTAGTCTTTTGGTTTGCTATACTATAATACACTAGGATTAATTGCGGTAGACTCCTCCGCTATCGACCAATTGTGGATAAGGAGTGGATAGGCCCCCTGTTTAATTGCTCAAGTGTGGATAGACACCCTTTTTTTGGGGGGAATCTTAAAAGAATTAAAAAAAGATCACTCACGGGGGTCCATCCGCACCAATAGAACTACAAGAGGTCTGTTTGCAATTGGGCTAAAGTCCAGGGTGTCTATCTGCAATTAACCCGTTGCAATATAAGTGTCAGCAGCATCCAACTGCAGTTACTGCAACTACTGCTTTATGCCACTGTAGTTCCTACTGTTTGAGTCCAGTTGCAGTCACAGGTGTTTTTGAGGTGTTATATTTTGTTTTTTGTACTGGGACTAGTTGCGATTTAAATTGCAACATAATTCCCGTTTGAGCTCACAAAGGTTGCAACTACAAATTGCACCGGAAACTGCGCAAGTCATTGACTGTAATTGCATTTATTCTATTGGCAGTCAAACGTACTACTGCCACTGGTCCAAAATGTGCCAATTAAATGCAAATGCATTTGCAACCTCTGCAGTTATAGTGAATTAAACCGTCTTTATACGAACGCAAGAAAATGCTAATGAAGTTGTCATGCTACTTGATGAAACAGGATTCTTTGAATCGAGGAGGGCATGTTGCGGGACAGGGACAATCGAGACATCCATTTTGTGCAACGAGATAACGCCAGGGACGTGCGCCAACGCCACAGGCTATGTCTTTTGGGACAGTTTCCATCCTTCAGAGGCTGCAAACGAAGTTCTCTTCGAATCACTCTTTCTGCAAGGGATTAGTCTAGTTTTTTAGACTACTACTATTTTCTTCCACAATATCTATGAGCAAAGTTATCCATGGTGAACTCTATCATTGAATAAGAGTGATTCAAGTTCAGCAGAGCATCCTGATTATTCATCTAATTCAGGTGACATAGTGTTCAGTGTGAATGAAGGAGAGCCGTCTCCTTTCGCAGCGTGTATATTGATCGAATCCAGTTTTCTCATTGCGTACTGTGGCAATTCATGTTCCTATTCACTTAAATAGTTCCTGTAAAAATAGTTCATGAATATATCATGATAAGTAGATCAATCAAGAACTATTGACTGGAAATTCTAGTCTGATACTCTCAAGTCCTCCATGGTCCCTTTTAGGAAATAAGCAGAATCCAACATCAAGATCACGTAGAAACAAAGCAACACCTAAACACACATTGTTTTTGTCACACATTTTCTGTGGTCTGAAGCAAGTACCATGTTCACGGGCAGTAACAGATGATTGTTTTGCTCTCTCATATTTCGAAACCCTTTTCCCTGTGATTCTCTCCAAGTGGAATCATGACCTACGCGTACCTGGCGAGCGGAAACAAACCCTACATCTCTAATATATTTTCCAATACAAAATCCACGAAATAACCCTCAACAAGTTCGGTTACAGAATAAATCAGAATTGTTGCCAAAAAATGGACTAGGGAAACATAGTAAGCTATGTTCGCTTCCCCACGAAACTCCGCCGCACTTAGCTCCGCTTGCTTCACTTAATTTCCCAAAATACTCTTCAAACAGTAGTTGGAAACTGGAAATGCAAAACCAGAGATCAACGATTGACAGGTTAGAATTCAAGACCTCTCAACAGTCCTCATGCTCAAATAATTATGTGCCAACTTTCGCTCAACATTGTTTTCAGTCTAATCTTCAAATACTTAATTATGATTCCACAATAGCTATTTTCTAAAACCCATAAGTAGACTCAACCTTTCATTATATTGAATTATCATGGGCGGCACACAAGTCATTATATTAAAAGGATCTTGATTAGAGTCTGGTAAGCCAAAGCGTTGAAACTTCTTGGCGAAGTTAAGAAATTAAATGGCCTAATGAGAGAGTTATTAGAACAACAAGACCACATTGTTTTCTTAATCATGTGTTACTAAAGATGGGCAAACTAATAATCAACAACTCTATAAGCATCGATGCACTATTAGCAAATAACAGATTGATATAGTTAGCGGATGCCTCCCGAATGAGTTCTATAATTAAGCCTTGCAAACAAGTATGTTCTCCTGAGTCTTGATGTCTTCTCAAGAATAAGATGTCGAGTCTAATAAAAATTGCTAAATTCTGTTAAGGTATCTCCAAAAAAAATATATCGTTGCAATGTTGCCGACCAATGTAGTTGTTGATACTGAGGAGAATGGAAGAGTAGTATCTAATGACGTCAGTTGTTACTCAAGAAGTTCACGAAGATCACTTAGCTAGACAATCAGTATTGACTGATACTGAGAGCCTTCAGCGAAACTTACAGGCGCGCGTCTCCTTTTCTCGAGAAAGTATTCAGGGGACACACTGCACTGCATTAACGGGGGCATCAGAAGATCGTCTATCCTTGAACTATTGCAACAAGGTGTAATACACCGATACAATGGGGAGAAGAGTACAATATTCCTAGTCCGTGTCACTAATGGCGCGCGCTAATTTTATATTAGTCCTTGGATAATTAGGCTTAGGAATTTGTACATTAATAGTACACTCGTGCCCCCTTCTCTTCTCAAGAAATCACTCCCTCTCGCTACTTAAATGCCCGTACAACATCACTCATCTCCACCAGGCTCCTATAACTGAATCCCTCTTCATCTTCTTCTCCCTCTTTCACATTTACATCACAACAAAACCTATGATGCGTTTGTTGACAAAGAGAGCTATATTGCTAGCAATGGTTGTACCTCAAGTATTTCTACTAGGAGTTGGAGGCGTCTCACAAGAGCAAAGCCTTGTTCCTGTAGTTTTCTTCTTCAGTTACTCCCTTTTTGAAGTTGGCAGCAACAACAACAATCTCGTCACTGCTTCTTTTTTTTTTCAAATCAGAACAATCTCCTCACTGTTGCAAGGGCTAACTTACCTCCATACGGCAGGAATTTCTTCAATCATACCGCAAGTGGGAGGTTCAGCAATGGAAAGCTGGCTATTGACTACATAGAAAAGGTTAATTGCAGATACAACTCCGACACCACCAAGGGTTTGATATTTGTTGGCCTTAAACTTTTTATTAGCGCTTTGACTCTCTGATCCAAAAAAAAAAAAGTTAACTTGTTATATACACATTCCTCATGGTGTCATGTGACATTAATGTCTTGCGGAGAGACCTTCATTCCCACCCTCATGTTTTCTATTTGAGAGTTAAGGAGTCTAAACGCTAATAAAAAGTATAATAAATGGCTGATGCCTACAGTGCAGGTGTATACGCAGTTATTTCTGAAATAAATCTCCCCCATTTGATAAATTTGAAATGGCATACTATTATCTTTCTCATTTTTATCTATTTTGTTCAGTGTCTGCAGTTAATACCCCTGCATTCACCACATACCAAGCAGCATACCTCTGCCCACTGGCCACTGGAAAAAACCTGCTCATGGGAGCCAACTTTGCTTCTGCAGTTTCTGGATACTTGGACGAAACAGCAAACTTACGTGTGGATGTTTTCATTAGGTTTGGCTGTTGAGTTTAGAGGAGTGGTGGACACTAAAAAATATATTGTTATTATTTCTTTAGTGGTACAAACTCGATACTCTCTAATACAAACACTCTCTACTACAAACTACTACACTCTTTTACAATCACTCATTATTTTTTCCCCTCTCTTTATTTCTTTCTTTGTTTTTCTCTCTCTTTCTCTTTCCTGCTACTTTAAATGATCCTTTGCTACTTGGATGCCTTACAAATCAAACTTAGTGGGGTATATACTATTAGGGGGTTGTTAATTATTATTGCATTGGTGGCTGAGTTAGGTGGGGGGAGAAGAGAGCTGCTGACTTTAACACTCCCCCTCAGCAGTGACTTCTCAATCTATCCACGAGTCCAAACTGACTTCGAAATTCTGTTAACTTTGAAGTACTTAGTGCTTTGGTGAATATATCAGTTATTTGTTCGTTTGTCTCGATTGGTTTCATTACGATCTCCTCCCAAAGAACTTTCTCTCGAAGAAAGTGATGATGTAATTCGATGTGCTTCGTCCTAGTATAAAAATTTGAATTATCTGACAATCATATTGCAGACTGATTATCGGAATGTAAAGCTAGTGAATAGTCTGTGGACTGATGTAGATCTCTTATTAACTGAAAAAGCCACGTGCTTTCCTGAACTGTCATTGCTGTTGATCTGTACTCCACCTCTATAGTTGACAATGACACTGTTGACTGTCTTTTGCTACACCAAGATATAGCCGCCGAACCTAGATTAAACACTTATCTGATAGTAAACCTTCGAGTGTCATGATCTCCAGCATAGTCAGCATCACAATAGTCATAGACCTCACATTCTTCTCCTTTCTTATACATGATACCATAGTTAATTGTACCCTTAATGTACCTTAAGATCCTTCAGATTGCTTATAAGTGAGGTTTCTTTAGCTTCTGCATGTATCGACTCATGACACCAATCGCAAATAAAATATTTGGTCTTATCATCGTTAGATAGATCAAACTTCCAACTAGTTGTTGATACATAGTTGGATTCTTCCAAATCTTTTCCTTCATGTACACACAGTCTCAGATTTGTCTCCATCGGTATTGAGATTGACTTGCAGTTGAACATCATGTACTTGAGCAACATGTCCTTCTGTCAAGTTTCAGGCTCACGGGCTCGTTGGTGCATGCAAGTCGTGGGACCTATCGAGAGCAACTCGATGTTAGCTAAACTCCACTGCCAACATGCTAGCACTAGTTGTTTTTGGGCCTTGAGCTTTTTTATTTAAACCATTAATATTTCTTCACACTAGTCCATGTAGAACTAAAGTAGGGGTATCACAATCACCCCACCTTACAAAGATAACGTCATCGTCATCACGATATGACAATTAGCACATCCCAGTATTGCTGTCAGACGATGTAAACTCTATAGGTGGCTCCTACGGGCTCTAGAGGTGGCTCCCACCTTATTCATACGGTTTAGCACTTAGTCCTGTATAGCACTTAGCTCCACATTTTCGGCTAGTAACTACTCTGATACCATTTTGTCAAGCCTCGGACCTACGAGCCCGTTGGTGCGAGCAAGCCGTGGGACCCACCAAGAGCGACTCGATATTAGCTAAAGCCCACTGCCAAAATGCTAGCACTAGTTTTTTGAATCTTGAGCTTATCTATTTAAGCCACTAATATTTCTTCACACTAATCCATGTGGGACTAAAGTGGGGGTGTCACACCTTCGTATATTTTTCTTGGTAAAGGAATAGTCCGTCCATCCTTTGGTTGACCTCCAATCCGAGGAAATGCTTGAGGTCCCCAAACTCCTTCATTTGAAACCTGACCGAGAGATTTGTCCTCGTTCTCTAGATTTTCGCTTCATCATCTCTAGTTAAGATTATGTCATCCACATAAACCAACATGATTACTAGCCTATTTCCAGTCCATTTGACAAACAAACTAGAATCTACAGGAGAAAGAGAGTATCCACTTTGAATTAAGAACTCACCAATCTTGCTATACCAAGCTCTCGAAGCTTGCTTCAGTCCATAGAGAGCTTTCTTTAGTTTGCAAATATATTTTCCTTTTCCTTGCCCTCAAATCAGATGGATTGCTCCGTGTAAATCTCTCGATTCATCTCACTATGTAGAAATGTGTTCTTCACGTCCATTTGCCAAATCTTCCAACTCCTGCTAGTTGCTAGAGCTAGAAGAACTCGAACTGTTGTTATCTTAGCTTTTGGACTGAATGTTTCATCACAATTCAGTCCATACTGTTGAGAGAATCCTCGAGCCACCAAGCGTGCTTTGTATCTCTTAATTGACCCATCCGGTCGAGTCTTGACTTTGTAAACCCATTTGCAGGAGATAGGTTTGACATCCTTGGGCTTTGGCACTAACTCCCAAGTTTGGTTTTACTGTAGAGCTTGAATTTCTTCCTCCATTGCTCATCTCCATTCAGTAATTTCGTATGCTTTCTCGAAGCTTGATGGCTCCTTCACATCTTTCATAATGGAAACATTAGAATACTTAGGATTTGGTTTTTTGGGTCTCGTTGATCTTTGAAGTTGTTCAGTAGTTCTTATTCTATGTCCTCTATCTAGCTCGGGAGCACTTCTTCTTTCACTGTCATACCCCATAAAAATACACCTGACAGCCTTTTTGTCAAACTTGTTGTGAAGGTGATCAGGCACGAAGACATAACATACACAACCAAAACTCTAAAATGGCTTACGGTTGAGTTGATATTCCACAACTTCTGAAATGGTGATATGAACTCCAATTTTGGTTGTGGTAGCTGATTGATCACATGTGTCGCAGTCTTTATACACTCAGCCCAAAAACATCCAGGCACGTTCTTAGCATGAAGCATACTTCTGCAAATTTTGGCGAGATGACAATTCTTTCTTTCGGCTACGCCATTCTGCTGCGGAGTATTTGGGTACGTTAGTTGTCGTCGAATCTTGTGCTGCTTCAGATAATCGTAAAACTCCTTCGATGTGTACTCTTCCATGTTGTCTGTGCGTAGACAATAAATCTTCTTGCCAAATTCTCCTTCCATTTCTTCTCGGAATTGCTTGAATTTGGAAAGTGTTTTAGACTTTTTCTTTAGGAAATAAACCTAGATATATCTCGAATAATCATCGATAAAGGTGATCATGTACCGCATTCCACTTATCAATTTCTACTTCACTCGGACGAATACATCTAAGTGCACGAGCCCCAAAGGTTCCTTTGCTCTAATTGTGACTCCTGATATGGTAATTGATGCGCTTTACCATACTGATAACCTCCGCATATGGTCCCTCTTCGAATCTCTAAGTGTGGAAGACCCTTCAACATTGACTTTTCCATCATGATCTGGAGCTTATGATAACTTACATGGCCAAGCTGAGCATGCTACAGATCACCCGTCTCATTCTTTCTGGTTTTATCTATGTATGTTGATCCCGCTGACATTACATAGACAAATTCTACCTTCTGTCCCTCCATGGCAGCTTCTCTTGGTGGCTTCAAGTTTCGATAGACTGTTTCGATAGACTTTTACATCTTGTGGCTCAAATGCTATATAGTTTCGAGAAGCTGTTAATTGGGAAACAGATAGAAGATTCTTTTTCATACCCGATACATGGTACACATCTTGTAATTGTCCGATTCAGGTTGTAGCATGGTGTAAACACAGTCTTTCTGATGTGTGTGATATGTAATCTTGAATTATTCTCTATCACAACTTCTCGGCCACATTTATACTCCTTCATGTTGACAAGTTTCTCCTTATCTCTTGTCATGTTGTTGGAACAGCCAGAATTGACGATCCAATCTTTATTATAGTTGATTTCTTCCTGATCTGAAACCGCTACAAATATGGACTCAGAGTATTCTACAATCGAGGCTAGTGCTATACCAACAACCTCGTCTTCATCAATTGCTACATTTTTAATAATGGCTATGGATGCTTGGGCATCCCATTCTTCTTCATCATCTTAACATCTACGCGATGTTGCAGCATTGCCCTCTTCAGGTCTTCTCTTATAGCGGCAGTCTCTGATAAAGTGTCCTTTCTTCCCACAGTTGTAGTAGCTATTATCAAGTCTCCTTGCTTGACAATCAGCTTGCTCCTCACGCTGTAGTGTTCTACCGATGTATGGTCCTCCTGGCTGCCTCCTTGAACCAGCCTTTCCATACTCCTCTTTCCTCGTGCCTCTTAGTTTGCCTCTCTCCTTATTACTGAAGAGTGTTTCATCTTCATTTTTTATTAAAATGTCTGCCATTTGTTTGGCTAGGGTTTCATGTGTAGCGAGTAAACTCTCTAACTCTAATAATGTTGGTTGAGTCGGCCACCCGTGTATAGCAGTAACGAGTCTGTGATATTCTGATCTCAAGTCGTGGATGATTATTATCCTCATCCTCGCATCAGATACTTTAGAATATGAATCTAGTTGAGCAATATATGAACAGAGTGATTTTACTTGCTTGAAGTACTGACTGGTTGTCAGATCCTTCTGTTACAAGGTCATCAATTGATTCTCCGTGAGTTAAAGTCGAGTATCATTCTTTTTCGAGAAGAGTATCGCAAGTGTATCTCATGCCTTCTTCGGAGTTCTAGCATCTCGCATATAGTCTACAAGATCTTCTTCTACTATCATCTTTAGCACATACATAGCTTTGCCGGCTTTGATGTTTACTTTTTTAGTGCTTCACTAGCTTCCCGAGGTGCTATAGTTTTAGCACCCCCGATGACCTCCCAGAGGTCTTGTCCTTGTATATAGGACTTCATACACGTCTCCCAGTTGTTATAGTTATTACCGTTGAGTTTCTTGAGTATAGTAGTCGTATTTGCCAAATCCGTTATCGTGACGTAGTACTGCTTCAATATCTTCACGCAAGTCCAGTCCCTAACCAACCAACTTTACAATTCTGGATTAAACACGAACTTCAGCCTTCAAGAATGCCGATAGGATCCCCGTAGGAGAAAGCAGGTCCCTGACCACCTTACTTCTATCACGAGCTGCAACTTCTATTATTTTACGTAAACAGTAACCGTACTTATAAACAACAACCATATTTGCGAATAGTAACCATACTTATAAATAGTACTATACTCATAAATAGTACCAAGTACCTTCAAAGGGTAAATGATAATCTAACTTATTTTCTGATGTGGAGGATCTACATTTGGTGGCAGCTACAAAGTATATGATAAGCAGATACACGCACCCTAAGCCAAGCTCTAATACCACTTGTGTTGGATCTTGTATGCAATACTCAAAGCACTAGAGGGGGTGAATAGTGCTTTATAAAAATATCTTACGAAATAAAAAATAACTATGCAGCGGAATAAGATTATATCAACAATAAAAACTCAAACCAGAAAAACACAATTGCAAACATGAGGATTTATCCTGGTTCGGTCCTCCAGACCTACATCCAGTCCCCAAGCAACCCGCTTGAGATTTTTCACTATTCTTGAATTTCCTTACAAGAATAATCCTTGCACAAACTTGAAAATCCTCTTGTCAATTTGCACACCCTTTCTCAAACCAGAGAAAGACTTTCCTTCCTTCAAATTAGAGAGAACATTTCCTCTTCCCTCAAACCAAAGAGAACTTTTCTTGATGAAGATTACAACAATCCTATAAGCCTTGATGTGTAGTGATCTTAATTGATCTGTGGCTAATAGGAATTCTTAATATTTTGCCTCACTAAAACTGGAAATTTTGGACAAGAAGACTATAAAGAGAGTTTTTCATTTTCAGTTTTTCAACTCAAGAGTATATCAAAATTTTTGGTTCAAGAACATGTATTTTGAAAATTGAACTCAAGGGTATATATTCAGACCAATAGACATAACTTCTGAGTTCAAATATGTTTTCAAAATCCGATTTTTTAACTACTATAAAATGACTAATTCAATTTGAACATCAAAAGTCAAACAACGATAAACTGCCTGTGTCAATCGACTGGTGGACTCATCAGTCGACTGACCAGAAACTTTTAAAAATAACTGTTACTTGAATCAGTACTGCTATAAAGATAGATCGATTGCTACAGTGACCAGTCGACAGACTAGAAAAATCAAATTCAGCCAAACAAGCTAGTCGGTCGACTGATCAGAATAGAAACATACACTAAAATGGACATAACTTCTTACTATGACATCCGAATTGAGTGATTTTAGATGAGTTGGATGCGTATTTCAAATATCTACATGATGAATCCAAAATCATCCCAATCCAATGCTCGTATGATTTTATAGATATTTTTCAAGTTAATGTATCATTGAAACATGTTATTTTTAATGCAGAAAAACTAAGGTTTCATTAGTTCTTTTATAAGTCGACTAGGGTATCATTAGTCAAATAGGAGACTAAGATTTTTATAAACTAAGTCATGGTTTGTGTGTGTGCACCAAGGCTTTTAACAATCTAAAATAAAGTAAAAGTTACAATATGAAGTCCAACTTTATCTTGATTTCTCTTCAGTCTTGCTTGATCAACTTGAATGATGTAACAGGCCGGATATATATTTTGATACTGTAATAACCAAGTTAGCCAAACACACAATATATTTGTATCATCAAAACATACTTGATCAACAACTTGTTGAGTTGAGAGGAGTGGTGGACACTAAGAAATATATTGATATTGTTTCTTTAGTGGTACAAACTCAATACTCTCTAATACAAGCACTCTCTACTACAAACTACTAAACTCTTTTACAATCACTCACTATTTCCCTCTCTTTATTTCTCTCTTTGTTTTTCTCTCTCTTTCTCTTTCTTGCTACTTGGAATGATCCTTTGCTGCTTGGATGCCTTACAAATCAAACTTAGGGGGGTATATAATTGTTAATTACTATTGCATTGGTGGCTGAGTTAGATGGGGGAGGAAGGAGCTGTTGAGTTCAGCATTTACTGCATGTTCGTTTTTTGTACTATAGGAACTAGCCATTTAGTAAAAAAAATTATTAGTACGTAGAGACTCTGATGTCTATATCATGAAATCTCTTCATCATTTGTATATGTACTTCAGGAGGTGTATGCTCAACACCTACAACAAAATAGAGTGTCTCTCTACGATGCAGTAAAATGTCAAAGTTCTCTTTGAAAGATATTGATGTCATGTGACATGCACGTGTCATACAAAGATTATGGGGGAAATAACTTTATTTTGGGATATCAAGGGAACCAAGTGCTAATGAACAGTTTAGGAAGTAATCAATGGCTAGCCCCTATAGAGGGAGGGTGTATTTACAGTTAATCATATTCAGTAATTTGTATCTTTACTACAAGCTACAGTTCTTAAGCTAATTCGGGTTTTTTGTGATCATGGATATTACAGAATGTGACAGTTCAAATACTACAAGGAATACCAGGCCAAGCTGGAGATAGTAACACAGAGCGCAAATGCCAATTCGACGAAGACCATTTCAGGATCCATATATATTCTCTGCAACAATTATATGCTGACCTACTACATCAGTCCTCTAGTCTTCAGAATTCACACCAGATCAGTTTCTGACTTGATTGTTCAATCCTTCACAACTTTTGTTCAGGTCTTCCCTTGTATTTACTCTTCAGCCTCTACTTATCAAATGCCAGCAGATAGAAAGCCCCACCAAAAAAAAGACCTATTGGCCCCTACTAGCAAAAATTGGAGTACAATTTTTATTATAAGTAAATTCGGATAGATGCCCTACACTATCGCCTGATTGCGGATAGACCACCAATATCATTGTCAGATTGCAGATAGACCCCCTGCAGTTCTATTTGTACAGATAGACAAATTTTTTGGCTCTTAAACAGTCAAAAATGTTTTGAGGAGGCAAATAGACCCCTCATATTTTTACTGCTCAGGATAGAATCCAATTGCCTTTTTTTTTAACTCTTAGAGGAGTCAAAAGAAGTGAGAGCACCAGGAAGAGCAGATAGGTTGTTTGTGAAAGAAGGGCTTGTTCTCGAATAAGCTCTTTGCTTTGACACAGATATTATCTAGGTGCCAAGAACAGAAGCAGATAAGATAGCGGATTAGGCCGACATGGAGGAAGCGTGGCTGCACTTGGGCAAATAATGCAGGGGGGCCATTCGCACAAATAGAGTTACTAGGGATCTATCCGCAACGGGCGAGAGTACATGGGCCAATTCGCAATTATATAACACTAGCATACGAACAGGGTATTCTGAGCCATTCACAAGGAGAATAAGGGACAACAAGCGTTCCGTGGATGGCTCAGAACACCCAGCTTACATACAGTGTATTCGAATTTGTATTCTAGAAATTGTAACCATTATATGTATCAACTAAAAAACTAACAGGTCCATATTGAATTACTCAGAACTTGTACTGGTTAGGAGCAAGAAGAATTAGGGTGACATCATTTTCACCAATGGGCTGCCTACCTGGAGCCAAGATTATCTTTGGTTTTGTGAGCAAGGACTGTTTCTCGCCTTAACAAGGAAGCAATCAACTTCAGCAAGAAGCTGGAAGAAGCCAGGGAGCCCTTAAGAAGGCACGCCCTGGACTCAAGTTGGTTGTCACTGATATATTCAAGCCCCCTACTTGACCTCATCAAAAACCCCAGCAATCATGGTATACACTTATTACATATAACTAACGTTTTACATATTACAGGGTTTTTATTGGTTGGTTGCAACTATAATTGCAAAAACAGGTGTCAGCAGCACGCGACTGCTGCGGTAGTTGCAAGTATTGTTGCATGCAGTTGTGGCTGCCTGGCCTGCAATTGTAGCCGCAGGTATCTATTTTGGGTTATCAGATTTCGTTTGATTTCTATTGAGAATTGGTTGCAGTTGAAGTTAATGCATTAACCAATTTGCCTTAAAAGGTTGTAACTCCAACTTATGTCTAAAGTATAGCAATAACTGTAGTACAAAAGCTATATTACTCTTATACCAATAGACAAAAAGTGGGACCCTTTCCAGTAAGTTGCAAAGAGAAATGACGAGTTTTTATGGACCCCGCTTTTTTTGCCTAGTAGTACAAGAATAGTAACAGTTGCAATTGCATTCATCGGTTGAAGTGAAACAAACATGTGCAATTGGTCAATGATGTCTACTATATGCGACTGTAGTTGCACGCAAGAAAATTTTAATGAACATGTCATGCTACTAAATGAAACAGGGCTCTTCGATGCTACTAAATGAAACAGGGTTCTTTGAAGCGACGAGGGGATGTTACGCAACAGGGACAGTCGAAACAGCTCTCTTGTGCAGCGCGCTTTATACCACGGATATGTGCCAATGCCACAGTGTCTTCTAGGACGGTTTACCATCCTACAGAGGCTGCAAACAAAGTTCTCTCCGAATCATTCGCTATGCAAGGGATCCCACTCATCTTTCAGACTAATGCGATCATCACTCTCAGAATGTAGGTTCCAATACAACAGGAACAATCTAACGTTTTCTAAATGATTGGTCTTCGGAATGCATTTTCTTTTAAATTGATTACGTTTTGTTTACTGAACTGACACAACAATATGTTTCTTCTTCCGCTTTTCCCCTTTGTTTCTGAGAAAACAAAGACGTTAACTTCCTTTAGATTATAACTCATGTAATGAGAAATTTTTGGTCTCTGCGAAAGTATTTATCAATGGGTCAAAACAACTATAACTGGTCAAAGGTCATGGATTATAGCTCGAGAAACCTATAAATTTTGGCCATTGAGAAATTATTTGTCAATGGATTGAAATGGCTAAAAATGACAAAATTTTAGTTATGGTCTATGAAATAGTGAATTTTGGCATTTGTGAAATTATTTGACAACAAGTGAAAATGACTAAAAATAACCAAAAATCAATGGTTATAGCTCATGCGATTTGAATTTTTGTCTTTGCGAAATTATTTGATAATGGACCGAAATGACTAAAAATGGTTCAAAATCATCGCTTATAGCTCGCAAAATCGTGATTTTTTGTCTCCTTAAGATTATTTGGAGATGTGTTGAAATAGCTAATAATGTCTAAAAATCATGAGTTCTAGATCATGGAATACTAAATTTTGGCCACCATGAAACTAACAGATCAAAACTACAAAACATGGCCAAAAATTATGGGTTATAGTTCATGAAATCGTGAAATTTGAATGACTTAAATTGACCAAAAATCATCAGTTATAGCTTAGGAAATTGTGAATTTGAATGACTTAAAATGACCAAAAATCATCGGTTATAGCTTAGGAAATTGTGAATTTTGACCATCGTGAAAATATTTGACAATGGGTCACAATGACTAAATATGATAAAAATTCATACCGTATAACTTATGAAATCGTGAAGTCCAATCTACACAAATTTATTTGCCAATGGGTCAAAATGAAAAAATACCAAAAATCGTGGGCTAGTTCATGAAAATGTGAATTTTGGACTTGACAAAATTAATTACTAATGAGTCAAAATGAATTAGAATAGCTAAAACTCGTGCATTATAGCTCATGAAAATTGTAAACTTTGAACTCTGAAAAAATATTTGTCAATTGGTTAAAATAATTGTGTTAGACCCTAAAGGGGGGTGATTAGGGTCTTATGCTAATCTAATTCCAATTAAAAGCTAATTAAAAATATATAGATCAATATGTTCTTGCAAGAGATGGATATGAACAATAAGAATATGCACAAATAAAATATGAGACAAGCAAAACACAAACACACGATATGTTTACGAGGTTCGGTCCCCACGACCTACGTCCCCGCTCCTCACCTCGAGGAGATATCCACTATCACAATCCGGTTTGGAAGCCGGAACTTCTACACACTCGGTTTACAAGCTCACCGAAAACTCTCACACTACACAATCACTCAACAATCACACTTCACACACTAAGTGTAGGAATCTAGCCCGTGTCCTCCTCCTCAAGTGCTCGATTACAACCTCTCCCTAGGTTCGTCAATCGACGCCACTCCTATTGGATTTGACCCCGTCTCTCTCTCCTCACACTTCTCTCGGTGTACAAGTGTATTACAAGTGATTCTTACAAATAAATGTTAAATACAATGATTTGTTCTCAATTAACAAGTGAGAACACAATGAAGCTCACACTCACTAAATCACACCCCACAACCCACAATATATAATATGGAAATATCAAGCTCAATAAGTGTGTGTGATAACAGTGAATAAAACTCAATAAATAATTTAATGAATATAGCTAATCAAATGAAAGTGAAATAGTAAGCTATATGGAAAGAGTTTAGAAAAACTTCTCAATGAACAAGAGGAGCTGAAGAATATGATCCCAATGGAATATGAGAGCCTCTTCTTGTTGTAGAAAACTTTCTCTTGAAAACAGATTAACGAAACACTTCTTAAACAGCTCTTAAACGTGATTAATATCTTGCTAAACAGTAAACTTGGATTTCTTGATTGATAGAGAAGAAGAGCAGCAATAGGGTATATATAGCACCCAATACAACAGCTAGAAATAGGTGAAAGACCAAAAAACCCATTTGAAAAACTAGCTGTTAGGCTCAGTTTGTCAACTCGTCGGTCGACCGGTACGGTCGACCGATTAGTTCAAAAAACGTGAGAAAACATGTTTTGAAGCTGGCGGTCGACCGACGCAAATTTCGGTCGACCGAATGGAAATTTCGGTCGACCGACGGAAATTCCGGTCGACCGGAAAATACTCAAAGAAATTCTCAGAAAACAGACTACCGTCGGTCGACCGTATCGGTCGACCGAAATCTGACATGGGCAGAAAACAGGTTTTGGGCAGTTTTTGGAAATTCGTTAAAAATATCAATTCATATCCAAAAATAGTGAAACTTTGGGGAAAGTTTATAAATGATGAAATGAACATGTTTGAAAAGGAATTTTTGAAAAAACAAATTTCGTTTGTGAAAACTACCTGGTTTTGAAAAATGCTTGGAAAACCTGTATTATTTTTATGAAAGTGAAAGTTGATATAGGACTTGTAAATATTCATATATATATTGTGCATATATTATATGTATATAATAAAGTATGAGAGAGCTGTAAACAAGAGATAAAGATATTTTAACAACGTTTAATGAAAAATCATCTATATGATAGAAAACGTCAAAAATCGTGTTAAGTGTATATATATTGAGCTTAGATATTATCATACTATATATGTAAGAAAACTGATCATATACCTAAGAAAACCCACGCAGATGAACTTGAATCTTTAACGCTGTGTTGAAATACCTGAAAAGAGAACATAAACACAAAACACTAGAAAACTTATTAGTAATAAATTGTTTGTCAAATCATCATCAAAACTATAGGGTCAACAATCTCCCCCTTTTTGATGATGGCAAACAATTTATACATGAATGTAAAGTATACACTGATAATCCACATATAACCCAAAACAAGAATAAATCATACATGACCATATATATAAAACACACATGATCATATATAACAGAATTAATTTGTAAGCTATTATATGTGGTATTTTCTCCCCCTTTGACAACATCAAAAAGAGGGAAAATGAAAGATAGGAGCAATGCTCCCCCTGCTTATAAGCATAGATAAGAAAAATAAAGAAATTTATGTCAAAAACTCCCCCTGTCAAATAGACTAGATGACATCAATAGAGCATATATACAGGAGCTAAACCGACAACTATCCATCAAACTTATGCATAATAACCATGCAAGAAACAAAACATGGTTATTGTCTTAATCATGCATTGATCATGAAATGATAAACTAGCTTAAGCAAATTACAAATCATCATTTAGGCATCATAGATGTGCATGAAAATACAAAACTTAAACATCATATAGGCAACTTATGATAAGCAACTATTTGCTACACACCAAAAACATGAAAGTTATTTTATATAGGCATTGATTCATAAAAGAAATAACCTGAACATAATAAGCCACAAAGAACATCATATAGGCATTAGAAGCAACATATTTTTGCATAAATATAGGTTTGTTCACGAGATAGCAAGTCATACATAAAACGTCACACAAAACCATACATAGTTGTTCCACAAAGCATCATAGAGTTATTACACTCAAATAAAAACAGAGTTATCAAGTTTTACAATCCAGAAGAAGGCGTCAAAAAACAAAAAATAGAAAACATCACATGAAGAAACTCAATCAGTCATCATCTCCTCCAACATCATCACCATCACCATCTCCACCATCATCACCATCACCGTCATCATCACCACCACCATCACCATCTGAGCCATCAGCAGAATCCTCACCAGAATCAGACTCAGAATTAGAAGGGATCCCGAGAGACTGACGCTGGTATGAAAGAATAGTCCTAACATCCTTCTGAATAGATGTGACACGAGTCTCAAGGCGATCAAGACGGTCACAAATCTCAGAAGTGGAAGAAGTGGAAGAGGTCGAGGCTCTAGAACGGGAGTGAGAAGATAGTTTAGGAGTGGAGTCAAGAGATATTTGCATTCTGGAAAGTGAAACTTTATCAAAGAAATCTCTTGTGGATTCAACCTTAGGTTCATTAGTGAGGTCAACATTGAAATGTTGAAAGATGAGAGTGAAAAAGGAACCAAACGGTAGAAACTTGGTATGTTTTGATGCTATGTTATTGATAAAGATAGTAGCCCAATCAACTTTGATTTTAGCAAAGATGGCATAAACAGCATTAATCTTGTCAGAGGCGAAGTGATCAAAACTTCCAGTCTTAGGAATCAAATTTTGAGCAACAATTCGGGCAATGAGTCTAGCAATAGGATTAAGTGAATTGTTGTTCATAGGATATGAGCATCCGGGCTTAAACATGAGTGGGTTAACATCTGGATTACCAACATCAACAGACATGAGATGAACGTCACTTGTTGGGATATTAAGAATCCCCGCAAGTTCGTTGGCAGAGAAGGTAATTTCAACATTTTTCACTGATGATGTAATGGTTAAACTACCATCAGCAGAAGATGTTGTGGACAGGTTCGCATAAAACAGATAAACAAGAAATGGATAATAAGGAACTTTAAGACTTTCATCAAGCAATTTATCCAACCCAACATTTTGAAGAATAGACTGAGTGTTATAGATGACCAGTTCAGGATATTTGATATACCTAGTTGGGAGAATCTTCAGTTTACACAGTTCCCTATATTTCCTAACAAGAGGTTTAAACAACAGATAATCCTCATAATGTGAGGCTTTTGCAGAGGAGGAACTAGATTCGGGTTTAGACCTCTTTTTGGGGGGCTTGGGAGGCATGATTAGCTAGGGCTTAGATAAGATAGAGGAAATTTGTCAATATTCCTGTAAATACAAACGAAAAATTAACAAATTTCTCTAAAAGATAAACCCTAGAAAAGAGAAGCAGGTACTAGAGCAATGAAATGGAATTAAATGGATAAGTGGGAGATCATTACCTAGCAAACACTTGGTAGAGATCGACTGATGCCAAAACCCA